ATATTTTTATATTAGAGTTTAAGTTTATATTAAAATGTTATAATAAAATATTTTTATACCACATGATTGTTAATGTGTTAGTTTTTGTTTAATTTTTAACAGAAATTAGTTTAGAAGTAAACTGGAAAAACTTGAAACATAAACGATCAAATTGAAAAAAAATAAACTTTACATGCCAAAGTGGGAAAGTGACCAAACATATAGGGCGCAAAGTGTAATTTACCCTTTATTTTGTTGCATAATTCCCGTTAAAGGTAATTTTTTAGTGTGTAATGTACATTGTATACGACTCTACACAAAATTACGTAAGTTTTCACAAATTTACATAAGTAATCTTACACAAATACGTAAGTTGAATACAAATTCGCGTAAGTTTAGAAACTTATATGATTACGAGAATTTGTATTTAACTTGCACATTTTTGTAAAATCACATATAATTTTATTTACAGTTACATATTGTATACATTACACACTAAATTTTTTTTCTACTTTCATTAGATCATCTTCAATCCTTCATCAAATTTAAATTTGATGAAATTTTTGATAAAAATGAGGTTCAATCCTCTCATCAAACTTGTATCAAATCAAGAGAGAAATAATTTTTTAATAATTTTTTTATTAAATCAAAGATGAACTAAGGCTGTGTTTGTGTGATTTTTCATGTGGGGGTAGTTTCGTAAATTTACCTTGAAGTGGGTTGTTTCTAAGCACGTGCTTGGTTTTTGTCTCCATTTGACTAATTTAGCTTTTTTTATTCAATAATGATTAAAATAGTCCCAATTTGCCTTGCCACACGGAAACATCAACGGGCTGAATGTCTGCACGAAAGACTAGTTATATTCTAATTTTTTGAATTCAATCTCACCTCTTATTCAGTCAAACTAATCCAGCTATTCAATGGGATTTACTAAACCCCTATTGGATCATCAATCCTACCTCTCATTTTACAACCAAATATGCACCATCTTATTCCACTCCTGACTCTCACGCGGGTAGACGAACCTTTTAAGTATACAAAGCTTGATTTGACATGAGAGTATACAAAGCTTAACTTCACATAAGAGTTGCTCTTACAATTGGCTCATAGGAAAGTGAGTGAGACCCTCCAATCACCACTCCCAACATCTCCCAAAGTCAGTAATTGAAAAAAAAATAAAAATAATAATAATAATAATAATAATCAATCAGAGAGAGGGATTGTGGGGTGCCCTCTTGCGGGGTTCAAGTCATTTTCCTTGGCTTGTATTGCTAATTTTCAATTGGCATGCGGTAGCAAAACAAAATCAAAAAGCTTTTCATATTTTGTGGAACTGGTTAAAAATTAATATTTAATATTTTTTTGATTTTTTTTTAAAAAAAAGTATAAAAAAATGAAAAAATGATGCGACTCAAAATAAATTTTAAATCAAAAAATAATTTTTTATTAACTTGCCAAAACAAGCCTCGATCCCACATTATGACATCATCACATCGCTTGCAATGAGAATTTGAACCACAACTTTTACATTACAAAATGACTTTAACGATATGTGATGACCTAACACCATCTCCAATCATCCATTAAATTTTTTATTTAATTTGATTCTAAATTTAAATAAAAAGTTTCATTTTGTATAAGTTACTCTAATTCTTTCATTAAATTTTTATCATTTTTTTTTAAAAAAATTACTTTCTTATCCTATAGTTCATTTTTCATCAATTTTGATAAATAAATAAAAAAAAATCAGCTCCAATCCTTCATCTTTTAACAATTTTATCAAATTTAAGTAAAAAAAGACTTATTAGAAATTTGTTGAAAGATTTAGTTCATCTTTGATTTAATAAAAAAATTATTAAAAAATTATTTCTCTCTTGATTTGATACAAGTTTGATGAGAGGATTGAACCTCATTTTCATCAAAAATTTCATCAAATTTAAATTTGATGAAGGATTGAAGATGATCTAATGAAAGTAGAAAAAAAATTTAGTGTGTAATGTATACAATATGTAACTCTAAATAAAATTATATGTGATTTTACAAAAATGTGCAAGTTAAATACAAATTCTCGTAATCATATAAGTTTTATAAACTTACACGAATTTGTATTCAACTTACGTATTTGTGTAAGATTACTTATGTAAATTCGTGAAAACTTACGTAATTTTGTGTAGAGTTGTATACAATGTACATTACACACTAGAAAATTACCTTTAACGAGAATTATGCAATAAAATAAAGGGTAAATTACACTTTGCGCCCTTTATGTTTGGTCACTTTCCCACTTTGGCATGCAAAGTTTATTTGATTTAATGATTTTTTATGGTTAACTTTACCCCAAGGCATCCTTTCTCTTTTTATAATTATTCAATTGTCAATTTGCAATTGAAAACGACATGAATTTGACCTATCGTTTGAGGGATCAATATATAATGTATTAATTTTAAAAATATGTATCATAAAGGAAGTTATAACTTTTATAATAAAAGTTACACAAATAAAAAAAATCCAAAAAGTGAAAAATCGCTCTGTTTGGTTGTGTTTTCAAACTAGTTTTCTGCTTGATGGTTTGAGTATGATGTTTGGATAGAGTTGTGGAATTAATTTTCCACAACTCTACAGAAAACTCTTTCAAATAAATCACGTTTTTCAATTTTTTTTTCAAAATTTGACCTAACCGGTCGTTTGATCGGAATAGTAGATTTGTTTTTTGGCAATTGATATATTAATTTTTATATATTCGAAAACAATATTGTCTGAATTTTTTAAAATTTTTTATGTGCTTTAAAATAATTTTTTGTTTTATGTTTGGTTATGAGTTGTAAGTTTTTGTATCAAATATCAAATGTCACATCAAATATTTTCCACTCAATTCAAAACTTTTTTCAAAACTGTTTTTAAAACTCTCACTAAACAAATTTTTCACACTCAAATCATAATTCCAAACCTCACAAAGCAGACGGTGGAAATGCTTTTGGGGGTTTTAACTCCGGGAAGTCAGCTACCACCGAATTTGCTCCATCACATCCAATCAAATCCTGCAAGATTAGTAACTTTCCTCTCAAATTGTTTTTAGTTCACTACTGTCAATATTAGTGTTTCATCTTCTGAAAACTAAAATTAGCTGATAATTCAAATTCACATGTTGATTTGTTAGGTGCACCTGATGAATTAATGGACCAAGCAATTTATCTAGAAAAGTAAAGAGTGTTCATGAGAAATAAAGTGATTTAAACATTTTTTTTTTGTTTTTTGACAACCAGGTGTCCAGGCCAATTTATGCATACCTCGACTAAATCCTGGGACTCCAATGGCCTCAAGGTTTGGATGTTTGGCCTTCGTGGGTTTTGAACTTGTGACATCTTGGGTGGTAAGCCCTTTGGTTGCTTTCTTCATCCACTAAGCCAAACCCCTTGGGGTTAAGTGATTTAAACATTTGCTTACACAATTTATATTTTCCCTCTTTATGTTGTGTTTGACTAAGAGATTTGGGAATAAATTTGGAAACCGAAAGTGAAAAGGTGTTGAAACTAGGTGAAATGTAAATATCTTTTATTCATATTTCACCTTACTTTTCTCTTTCCATTTCCCTTTTCCTTTCCAAATCTTCCGACCAAACACAGTATAAAAGTTCATCTCTTGTGTTTGAGATATGCTTATCTTGCTCTTTAAAAAGGTTCTCCAGCTTTGAGCCTAAATTTATTCAAATGGTTGGGTTGAATAATGAATAGAGATTGATAACTGATTTATCACAAACCAAATTAATGAAGCCTTCAAGCTTGTATGTGTATTTCGGTGTATGAATACAAATACCTGATTGTTTTGACGATCTCCAGTCTATTACACAAATGCCTTTATTGACTAAGGCACAAGATTACAATCTGCATTGATGACGTTGCTAAAATTATGTAATAATAGCTCTTTTTTGTCAATCTGGGTACAAGTAGCAACCTGAACAAGCTAGGAAAACACATGTTTTCTAGAGAGTTCTTCATACCCCAATATGCAGTTGTATATGCAAGTAATTTGCAATTTCTTGCTATCAAATATATATACATCTATATTACAACATTATTTGTTTGATTTTATGAGGAAGAGACATCTCCCATGTCGCATGAAGTTAGAAATTGATGTTACTAAGTATTGTAGCATGAAGAGACATCTCCCATGTCTCATGAAGTTAGAAATTGATGTCACTAAGTATTGTAAAGGAATTGATGTTACTAAGTATTGTAAAGAGAAAAAGAAATCTTTGACTTTTTGGTATAGGTTATAGGATTTTTGATTTTTTAAAATAATTTTTTGACTTTTAGACTAAAACTATTACTTCCCAAACGAGACCAAGTCAAAATAAATCTCATTAATTTTCTAAAATGAATAATATTTTCTTAGATGAATTAAGATTTCATAATCGAAATTGTAAAAATCAAAATGAGAGAGGGCTCGACACCCATACCTTTAATAAGTAAGCCTCATTTAGGAACTTAGTTATTTTAGTTGGCTTTTTAACTATTTTATGAGATGAAAAAAAATTATGTTTTGGAATGATTTGTGAATTTTTTGTAGTTTAATAAATGATTGTAAGAGAAAAAGTAATTGATTGACGTGTGAGATGATTTCTAAAAATGTGACTATGTGCTAAATCAATAGCACAAAATTGAATGAGCACGTGGACCTTAAAAATCAAGAAAACGTCAGGCAACATGATGAAAAATCATTGAATAGATATATTCCGGACTTGATAGTCCCCGTTTGGCAAGTGAGGTGGGTTTAGATTGAGACTAAAAAAGCACAAAAAAAAAAAGGCTAAATAAATTAATAAGATAAAATGTTATATCCAAACTATAATTATTACAATTCTTCTCTCACACCAAAAAAAAAAAACAAAAAAAAAAAAAAAAGAAGCCAAAAAATTCTTCTCAAACATAGCTAATTTAATTTAGTTAGGCTAATTAGCCAAAAGTCAAAAAGCTAGGTTAAAAAAGTTCTTCCCAAATGAATCCTAAATAATTTCTACTTAATTATAGGTGGCCACAATCATAACGGGTATGACTGAGTCTCTCACGAAAGAAGATGACCATCAAGACGATGCATAGAAGTTTCACAACCACAGACGAAGTTTCTAGAAGCGTCCCAACAGCATATGTTTTCGTAGAAATCTGCACCAATCTCATCCTTCGCTCCCCAATGTACTGATCAAGTGCCACTTCTGCTCTCTTATGTGTTGCTAAGCATCTAGCCAAAACAATAGCATCTTCCAATGTAATTGAGCCTCCTTGTCCGAGAAATGGGCCCATTACGTGCATGGCATCTCCAATAACCATCACTGTTCCTTTTCTAAACCTCGCGTTTAGTAATTCCCATGGGGCTCGATATTGAGTACCATTAAAAGTTAGTGAATCTACGTCACAGTTCTGTATCATCTCTAACATTTCTCTTGGAAATCCCTTTACTGATTCTAGTGCTGACGATATGATTTTTGTTTTATCTTTTGACATTGTTAAATCTGCATGTATGTATATATATATCATCAATATCAGTAATGGTACAAACTCATCATTTTTTTCAAAATTACAAATGTGTGGCTTAATTTCTTTTTATAAGTAAATTTTAATCACAAATATAGAAATTGTAGATTAACATATCATAAATGTACAAAAGTATTGGGACAACAAAAAAAAAAATAGATCTCTAATAATTTTTTCTTTCTTCTTCTTATTCCTTTTTTTAATATACAATGTGAAATACTCACAATGATTCAATATCAATGAGATTCACCTGAAATTTCTTGAACACTTTTAAGATTGGCGGAATTACTTTCCAATTGGACAAACGAACGAAAAAAACCTAAACATGGAGAGGTGCAAACCCCTATAATTTTTCACTTGTATCCCATCATATAATCATGTGCACTTCCAATGTTTTTGTAATTTTTTTTTTGTGTCCCACTTTTAAGTAATTCTCCCTTCAAGATTTGAAAAAAACATATTGACTTTTACTTTAATACATAATTGAGGAGTCATTTGGTAATCTCATATTTTAGTTATTAAGTATAAAAAAGTCAAAAAGTCAAAAAAAATAAATTTAACGCATACAAAAAATTCAAAAATCTTTTCTCTTTCACTCTACTTTTCGCCTGTTTTTTCGTGAAAAATAAAAAAAAATATTCTCAACTCATATTTTCGCCAATAAAACAAAACATATTTAAAGAAGTAACCTTTCAAATAGCCTCTAAGTTGAAATGTACAAAGAATCAATTAATTTTTGATTTTTCTTTTGTTCATATGTTAAATTTGAAAGTCTAAGAACCTAAAATCAGGTATCAAGAAAATGACTCAAAAAATAAACAGCTTGTTGAGATTTAAATGGTATATTATAGATTCATATATAATTTAAATTTGAACTGCACATTCATAATTTTAAATAATCCAAAAAACAAGTAAGATATTACCTTGAGGTGTGATTGGACGGGCAACCAACCAAGATACAAGGTTGTGATCAAGGGGGAATCTTCCAAGCATAACATGGCCTTTGTTGTTGGTAACAAATTCAAGGCTAAATCCATGCCCATTTTTGTAATTTGTGAAACCCCTCGCTCCGCCCATTGTTGATTGATTCGGAGGTTTTAATCCAATGAAATTCGCAATCATAGAGTTTACTCCATCACATCCTATCACTACCTGCCATTGACATATATACACAAACTACAATCCCAAATTAGATCAAGTAATTTTAATCTTTCAACTTTGGTTTAGTTTTCAGTGTAGTCTTCAAATTATTATAATTTTTTATACTTAAGTTGTTCGATTGTTTTAATTTTCAATGTGACATTCAACTTTCTATTGTAAATTTTAAATTTTCTCTATTTAATTCGTATTAACTCTCATAAATAAAGTCCATGTACAATTCTTTTTTTAACCCGTTTTTTTTTTTTTGGTTATTTTTCATCTTTAATATAAAAAATAAAAAAAAAATCCAAAATTTTTCCAAACACTTTTCACTTTTAGAGTCTCCTAGATTATAATTACCTAAAACGTATTGTTCCATCTGGTAGCTTGTTTCTAATATTCATTGATATCAATATATGATTAATAAAAAAAGAGGGGAAAAAAAAGGAAAAAAGAATAGAAACGAACTCGATTGGTGTTTCTTTGAGGGATATGTTGTTCGTGGAAACCTCTTGAAACCTAGTCAAAAGCTTAATTATAATTACAAATTTTGAGGGAAATGATTAGAGGAATTCAAAGCAAATGATTAGAAATATACATCTATTAATTGATATGTCGATTGATAAATATATATGAGAGGGAGATTCATAATCTGGCTTTGGACCGGGTAGAAAGAGGTCCGAGCTAACTTGGGCTTGCCCAGAGTTGGTTTGCTCGGTTGAGGTCCCGGGCCCATTCAGCCGAGGTGACCGTCTGTCAACCTGGGTTTTATTGTTCGCACACTTAGGTCGGGGGGAAAGGTTTTCCGCGAACCGGCCTAACTTGTCTGGAGCTCAGTCATACCAGAATGCTACTGAGCTCAGTTATGATGAAGCTCGGCGTGTGGCACTGTTGGACTCGTTAAGTAGCACGGTCGTACGAGGCTGGGGTGATGCCGCTGGGCTGTCTGTTCGTGCCAATGCCATGTACGGTTTGATTAGGTGGTGTTTAACTGAATTTACGCTGACAGGTGGGAGAGCATGATAGGAGAGTAGATCTACGTGTCAATAGGCGAATAAATGCAGAGGTGAGTGCAGAAAGTATATAAACATGACTGCGCCCCCCATGCTGGGATGGAAAATCATTTGGTGAGAAAAACCCTTTGTCTGCTGCTCTCCCTTTCCCTCTCCCTCTCTCTTTATCTGAGTGTATGCTAACTTGACCGTAGGAGGGATTTTTCGGCAACACACCGCCGGATAGCTCATCGTTGTTGCATTCGCAGGTTAATCGGATCGAATCGGAGCTTGGACGCGAGGAGTACAGGCAGTATCGAATATTTGCTCCCCGTACAGTTGGCGCCGCTTGTGGGAACTTTTTGCATACACAACCTTGTCCTCCAAGCTCATTGGATCGCCTTCCATGGCAAACAACGATGAAATACCGTTGTCTGCCATCGACGGTGTTACCCCAGAGTCGGTCAGACGGAGAGACAGACTCCTCGCCATTCCGAGCATGGCGGACATGGAGACTTCGCCAGGAGGACTTCCAAGAGATACACGAGATAAGTGCGCCAGAAGATTTGGTCACTCGCGAGCCCAGACGGACACCGGTGGCAGAGGGAGTCGCATGCTCACTGCTTGGAGCACAAGTTGAGGGACCAAGATGTCGTCATCTAGAGAATGGCGGCAGAGATGAAAGCTCTCAAATGGCAAGTCAAAGGGAAGGGTGTTGCTGGAGTGGAAGACCACAGTGAGCGCACCCAACCCCGCCGCTCAGGCAGCCAGAGCCAGCGTCACACGCCCTCCATTTCCATCACTAGAAGCTATGGGGTTAGAAACTCAGACCCTCCCGCAGAAAAGTCTAGTGCACAAGATAGTACATACCATCCCTCACATCCTTCGACTACATCTGAATATCCGTACTCTGTTCGTTTAGAGGACTTGAGGGACATCTTGAAGAAGCAAGCTTGCCGACGAGAGGTTCAAAGGGTGTCGACGCTCCAGCGGTTATCTTACGGAGGTCACGATAGTGAGGAAGTCATGATGCCACCACCACGTTCAGCCGTGCCAGTCCCTTTGGACAAGGATTTAGCAAAGCTGAATGCCATCCCTTTCTCCCTTGAGATAGAGATGACACCACTCCCAGCGGGCTTTCACCAGCCCAAGTTTACGTTTTATGATGGGAAAAGCGATCCGTACATGCATGTAAGCCACTTTCGGCAGGTCATGGCTGGACACAGGCGTAACGATGCTCTCATGTGCCTTATTTTCCCATCGAGTTTGGGCGAGTTGGGCTTGAAATGGTTTGAGAGGCTCCCGGAGGAAAGCATCGACTGGTGGCAGCAGTTGGCGGAGGCATTCGTGACTCGATTAAAAACCAACACCAAGACGCCGAAAGAAGTGGACCACCTCCTAAGTGTCAAGATGGAATCAAAAGACACCCTCAAAGCATATAACGCCAGGTATTGGGAAACCTTCAACGAGATCCTACATTGCCCGACCAACCTGGCAATCACCTAGTATAAGCGCAGTCTCCCGGTCGGACATAGACTAAGAGGCTCGCTCACGATGAATCAACCGGCCTCCATGGGACAACTGATGCAACGCATCAATGAGCATATCCGAGTGGAGGATGATACGACAGCATCCACCGTGAAGGCAAATCCGGTGGCAACGAACAAAAGGGTGGCTGGGAAAGTACACGCGGTCAAACAGGAGACAAACCGTCCAAGAGACTGCGCAAGAGAATCAGACTGTGGTCCGGATTATAGAAGCCGGGGTAAAGGTCGCCACAGTAACCGAGCAGAATATCCCTACGATGACGCAGCAGATGCGAACAAAAATTTGAATGCTCGGACGGGCATTACCACGGTATTTAAAATTCCAATCTATCGCATACTTAGTGAAATTCGCAACGAGGGTTATGTTCGGTTTCCCGCTAAGTTAGGCGATGCGCAAAAGGATTTCAATCCGCGGTACCGCTGCACATTCCATAGAGAGTGAGGGCACTAGACAGAGGACTGTTTGCCCTTAAAGGAACACTTGAAGGAGTTAGTTGCAGCCGGTCACCTAGACCTTTACATCGATGGGGGCATTAGAGCCACGCACCACACCTTGGTTGATCTATGTGGTTCAGATGACCTAGAGGCGCCCCCTCAAGGAGAGGTCAATGTGATCCATGACATTGTGGAGCCAGCGCGGGTATGCGAACTCCGAAGGATGATCAAAAAGGCAGAACATATGAGGGAAGTTTTATCAGTCCAGCCCGCGATTAAAAGGGGCAAGACTGAGGAGAAAGATGTGATTAACTTCTCATCTAGGGACCTTGAGCGCATTCAAACGCCGCACAACGATGCCCTAGTGGTCACCCTTCGCGTCAGGGACTTTGATGTCAAGTGTATCTTGATCGACCAAGGTAGCTCGGTTGAGATCATGTACTACAACGCCTTCAAGTAGCTCAAACTCCGGGATACGGACTTGGCTCTGGCAACTATGCTACTAGTTGGTTTTAACTCACAACCGGAGTGGCCGATGGGAAAGATAATCTTACCAGTCAAAGCCGGATCCGTGGTTAAGCAGGTGGAGTTCTGGGTATTAAAGGTGCCGTCCACATACAATCTGATCTTAGGTAGGGGATGGCTTCACGCTATGCAGGCGGTAGTGTCAACCTACCACCAGGTTATGAGGTTCCCCTCGGCTATAGGGGAAGTTGAGGAGATTTGGGGCGATCAAGTCATGTCGAAGCAATGTTTCATGGTAGTGAATGGAAGCCGAGCTGCCAAAGGCTTCGTGAAAATGATCGAAGGTCCGAAGGTCCGGCTCAGTTTCCTAGATGCCTATCGCGGCTATCACCAGATCGCCATGCATGCACCCGACCACAAGATCACCTCTTTCACAACTCTGAGGGGATTGTTCTGCTATAGAGTCATGCCTTTTGGTTTGAAAAACGCCGGGGCAACTTTCCAAAGAATGGTGACCAAGATGTTCGCCCCTCTCCTAGGCCGCACGATGGAGGTTTACATCGATGACATGGTTGTCAAGAGCAAGCTGCAGACCGACCACTTGGCCAACTTAACCGAGATGCTCACCATTCTTAAGCAACACAAGCTTCGCCTGAATGCATCGAAGTGTGCCTTCGGTGTGGGGTCAGGGAAATTCCTTGGCTTCTTAGTCACCAACCGAGGCATCTAAGCGGACCCCTCACAAATCAGAGCCATACAAGAATTGAAATGGCCCAACTCAGCAAAAGACGTGCAATATCTTGCCGATATGGAAGCCGCGCTTAATCGATTTATAAGTCGGTCATCTGATCGTTGCTGACCTTTCTTTCGAGCTTTGAAGTCCAAGTTTTCATGGGATGAAGAATGTGACAAGGCCTTGGGTGAGCTCAAGGCATATTTGTCTTCTGCCCCACCATTGGTTACACCTAAGCCCGGCGAAGAGCTCTACATCTATCTTGCTGTCTCTCAACATGCGATTAGTGCGGTGCTAGTTCGAGCAGAAGGCATCCAGCACCTTCCCATCTTTTATGTGAGAGAAACCTTGCTACCAGCCAAGTCAAGGTACTTACCACTAGAAAAACTTGTTTTGGCGCTAATGATGGCCTCCCGGAAATTGGCGCACTATTTTCATGCTCACACAATCGTCATGTTGACTGAATTCCCTCTAAAAGCCTTGTTTGAGTGGGCGGATTTTTCCGGTCGAATTCTGAAGTGGGCAGTCGAATTGGGCCAATTCGACATCAAGTTTCAACCCTAAACTACCATCAAAGCCCAACCCCTAGCAGACTTCGTTGCGAAATTCTCACCTGGAACTCACCAGGTATGCCCGGTGGATCTTATCGCGGTAGCCGAGATGGCAAATGAAGGCTCAACAGAAATAGCACAACAGAGTGATGTTGGCGACGCGGAACTTGCGCGCCCGTCCATAGAACCTTCAGTTAGAATTGTACCCTAGCCTGGCAATGTGACGATGGACTTGGGAATAATCGACCAACCTGTTGGGTCCGGAGCTGCATCGCCAAGGGGGGATGAAGACATTGTTATCCCAGGTATGCAACCCAAGAGGGGGGGTGAATTGGGTTATTAAAAATTTCACAATATTAAAATTAACACAATATTCATAATTTTAATAAATAAAAAAAAAACAGAATAATAATTATCAATATAAAAATAAGAGAGATAATGAGAGAAAATCAAACACTGAGATTTACAGTGGTTCGGCACGCCAGGCTTATGTCCACTCCCCAAGGAACCTCCTTGAGAATTTCTTTACTATCAATTGAATAAATACACCACCAAGCTTGTGGATTTGGCACATGACTTACTCTTATCTATTGAGCCTTACTGCCTCACCCTTACAAAATCTCTCACAAGAATAATAAATAAAAATAAGTGGTACTTAAACCCTATTTTACAATAATTCTCTCACAAAAAGTAGACATAAAAGTGTAAGATCAAAGGCTACACTTAGATCTAAAAATAAAAGAGCAGAATACAATATACTCAGAAATTTTGGAACACACAGAAATTTTTCTCTTCAAGTTCTTGATTTTTCTCCACATATAACACTTCTATTTATACACAAAAATATACCCGTTAGGACGCTCCTTGCTGACGTCATGGCTTACATAAGCACGCTCCTAACGTCATAGCTTACATAAGTACGCTCCTGATGTCATGGCTTACATAAGCACGCTCCTTGATTTTAAATAGTCAGCAAATGTTAATAATTAAAAAGATAAAAGTAAGACTAATTTTTTCTTTTCCCTTTTTTTTCTTTTTTTTTTCAAACATGGAGCCACAATTTAATAAATTTCACAACTTTCAAACAAGCAAATGATTTGCTCCATCTTGTTTTATTATAATATGATATAATCAATGTAATGTAAACAATTTAATTGCTCACGTGATGTATTCTATTTATATTATATGCAATCTATATAATATTCTAATCAAATATTTGCATATATAGCAAAATCCCTTTAAGTAATATTTATAATAGATCTGATCATATATACTCTTTTTCTGTATATGTTGTAGAGATTTTAAATTAAATATAACCTTCCACTCCATATCAATTTTGTCAAAAGAAGACAACCCATTAATACCAAATTTGTCAAAATAATACAACCAATCAATATCTAATTTGTCAAAATAATATAATTAATCAATTTTAATTTTGTCAAAAAGTGAATAGTGATCAGCCGGAATTTTCAAGATAATACAACCAATCAATCAATTTTGTCAAAATAATATAATTAATCAATTTTAATTTGTCGGCTGAGGGTATAAGGAAGAAGGGGAGAGCGAGAGAGCAAGAGAAAGAAAAACAGAGAGAGTAAAGGAGAGAGCGAGTGAGAGATAGAGACGGAGCAGGTGAGAGAGAGAAAATATATGTATATAATTTTATTATTATTATTATTATTATTATTATTATTATTATTATTATTTTATTTATAATTATTATTAGAAACATTTTATTTTATTATTTATTATTATTAAATT